AAAAAAAAAAAAAAAAAAAAAAAAAAAAAAAGACTACACCTGCATTGATTTTTACTTTCTTCCCACAGTCTAAGTAGCATTTTCTAAACTTCATTTTTCAAACATTTTATCAGTAAACAATTTTGAACACATCAACTTAATATGTGTGTGAATAGTTCATAGTCTATTGTAATGGTATATATTATAAATTATTTATTATATATTACATATTAAAATAAGACATTTCAAAATATGAAGTGAAACATGTAAATTCAAGTTTTAATATATTATTTCTACACTTCAGTTGTCTTGCACATACATCTCACTTGGGATATCACTAGAAAAGGCAACAAAGAACCAGTCAGAAAAGGGATAATTTAGCCAAATATTATGAAATGCCTGCTTTATATAGAAAATATTTCAGTCTCAAATTATTGGAAATTGAAACATAGTTAAACTTCTGAGCAGTTTTCTTCATTTTCTAAGTGTAGTCTTAGTTATTATTTGTTTTATAAGTGGATATGTACATGCTCCTTATATATGTAGGTGATGGTAACCTATCTCTTGATATAAAGGAGAAAATTAGTGATATAAGCCAACAGTGTAACTACATAGTTAAAGTTATAAAAGAAAATAACTCCCAACTCAAGATTTTAGCACAACACAAATATCCTTTAAAAATTAAGATAAAATAAACACATGTTTGTTTGTTTGTTTACTTTCATCTTAGGTTCATGGGTACACATACAGGTTTACTACACAGGTAAACTCGTGTCACAGGAGTATGTTATACAGATTATTTTATCACCCAGATACTAAGTGTAGTACCCAAGAGTTATTTTTTTTGGTCCTCTCTCTCTTCCCACCCTCCACACGCTAATAGGCCCCAGAGTCTTTGATCCCCTCTGTTTTCATGTTATCATTTAGTTCCCACTTATAAGAGATAACATGCAGTATTTGGTTTTCTGTTTCTTTGTTAGTTTGCTAAGGATAATGGCTTGCAGCTCCATTCATGTTCCCACAAAAGACATGATCTGATTCCATTTTTATGGTTGCGTAGTATTCCATGCGGTATATGTACAATATTTTCTTTATGCAGTCTACCATTGATGGACATCTAGATTGATTCCATGTTTTTGCTAATGTGAATAGTGCTGCACATGTATTTGTGATAGAATGATTTATATTCCTGTGATAGAATGATTTATATATCCAGTAATGGGTATAAAACCATTGCTGGGTTGAATGC